CCATTTAAAATTTTGATGTGTGATACGCAATACACATTAAGTTTTTATTTTTGTATATATTTTTTCAAATAATATTAAATCAACCAAACAACCTTTTCGAACAATGTCCCATCACATTATATGCTTGTTTCAATTCGTGGAGCTGTCCTCAAAGCTGCACTCAAAAACTGGAAGACAAAAATAGTGAGTAAACAGCTCACGAAAAAGAAAACAATGTTTGATGTTTACAGTTTCGTGAGCTGTTTACTCACTATTTTTGTCTTCCAGTTTTTGAGTGCAGCTTTGAGGACAGCTCCACGAATTGCTCCTCAGTTTGGCCTGATCCAGATGCAGAGGTACATCACAGTGTCAGACAAACATCCGTTGAAGAACACTGTGAGTGTAATCTTATGTTGTTTTATTTTGCACATGACTTGAATGCAACACTGAAATGTTTCTCACCAAATTGATTTTTGTTTACAATTTCAGGGCCAAACTCGTGAGTTCTCGCGTAGTAAGCCCCCGCAAAAGCCAAGAACATGGCTCAACGATAACGCGGTAGATCTCGGGAAAACGTTTAGGGCTGCGTATGTTAACGTAGCTGGATGTACCACATGTCTTCCGGATGAAAACACGTCGCCGGAGCTTCTCTTTTCTTCCTTCGCCGTCGATCGAAAGAACCACATGTCTCACCGTCGGGATGAGAACACCAAATACATCCCCAAGAGGCCGCAGCAGCACAAGTTCATTCCAAAACCCTTGAATCCAACTTCTTCGATGATGGAGGTTTGGATCCAGGGGAGTCTCAAGGAGTGGTGGATCTTCTTAATACAAACCCTAGAGAGTTTTGGAGAGAAGGTCCATGGACTACGATTTCGTTAGCTTTGATCATGAAGGTGGCCCTTTTGCTCTTTGTCTATGCTTATTCTATTCAGCTGTTGTTGTTGCTTGCGTATTTCATAGAATGATAGATTGACATGCCTCAGTATGCAATGACAGATTGTGTAGAACTTGTGCTTATAGTGGTTGATATATGTGCGCAGGTGTACTTGATAGTATGTGAACCAGTAAAGGATTGTTTCTTAGAGTAGCGCAGCCAAGAGTAAGTGGCCAGAGTCGGTTAAATAGAGCTAGAAGCAGAACATGTGGTTCTTTGTGAATATATTGGAATTGGTTGTAAGAATGTGGTTCTTGTATGCTTTTCCGTTGTGTTGTGGGCTTTGTTTGAGATTGTTTTCTAGCTTACAGCAGTTCACCAAAGCCTTGGATTCCTGAAATTTTGAACATGATGTTGTCTCATTTCTGCACACAATGCATCACCATTGGTCTGAAAATGGAGGTATGCATCACCGTTTTAGTTTTTACGATGTTGCATTTGCTTTTGTAGGTACATTGTTTCCTTGCTTGGCAACGTAAAATTAAAGTCTGAAACTATCAACATGGGCATTTAGAAAGATAAGAATAATCCCCTTGGCTGCGTTGGAAAATAGTTTCAAAAACTGAAATCACTTGTTCAGGACATAAATGTAGAAGCAAACGTAAGGAAATCTCCGCTAGTTTTAAATCTTATTTTTAGTGGTTACATTTAGAGGGTGTTATTCAATTATGGATTCTAATTCAACTCTATTAGATTTAAGTCAGATAAGATTTTAAAAGATTTGGATTGATTTAAAATGATTCATCATTGATTTTACAAAGATTTATCTAGACTTTCAAAATCTTTGGTATTGTATCGATAAAGTCGATATCATATCATTTGGTTTTTAGAATAGATTTGATCCAAACAAAAATTAAAAACTTTTAATAAAATAATTCAACGTAAAGAGAATAAAACCAAGAAATAAGCATCAATAATACATATGTATCATCTTCCTCGTAAACATTTTGTTCCATTATTTAAAAACCTACAATATAAATATTATAATTAGATCATCACCTACACAAGCTATCATTTCTTCATATCAAATATCAGAGGTGTTAGTTACAATGATTTAGAAATACCTCTTCTATAGAAACAGAAAAATAGAAATGATAGATACGAAAGATAATCATTCATTAACGAAACAAACTTACGTGTATGAGGTTTTAAAACATACGTGTAGGTGTTCTCATTTCTCCATCTCAAACGTTCTTGAAAAAATTGGAGAGATGGAGATCTTAAAAAGATAATAATAAAAAGATGTCTGTGTATCTATTAGTTAGAATACATAATAGATCATGAAGAGATGAACGTGATTTGAGTTGGATTTTGAAATCACAAGGTAAAAATG